AATTTCAATCATTATTTCCATTTGGTTGTAACCCTTCTATAATCTGAAAATGTGCAACGTTACAAACCCCCATAAACCCAAAAGACACGTGACTTCCTCGCACCATTACCTTCACCCGTCTCTATAAATGCGTATGTGTTTTGCACTTATCATCTTGATTTCCATTCTTTCCTTCCAAAAACTAATTTGCTGCCCTCGTTTTGCATCTTATACATTTGAGCAAACACTTCTCTCTTCAATAGAAATGTACCAATCGATCTACCCATTTTGCTATCTGTCTTGATGTCGCTTTTGGTATGGGAGATATAGGAAATATTATGTGGCCAATTAAGGTCTTCTCGGCGCCTCTATGTCCTCCAATAGGAGTTCAATGATGGAAGGCGATTTGAGGATGACTTTCAAGACATTTAGCTTGCTGAGAGTGCTTCTCAGCCTCCTTGTCTGTTATTGCAGCAATGCAATTGGGAATGCGGTTTGAGAGTGCTTTTCTGCCTCTCTGCCTGCTATTGCAATAGTGCGATCAGGACGGCAATCAAGGCCAGTTCACCCTTTTACTGGCGATTGACCGAAAGAATTATTTGCTCCCAATTGTAGCTTATAGAGCATTTAGTACTTTGTATCTCACAATTTGTAATGAGTATTTGATAATAAAGGAAATTATTTGAACGTACTTCTTCTTGTCTTATTTATTTACAATAGCTCAGCGCAATTATATTGATTATGCTTTTATTTGTTCACTTTTCCATAAGGAAGGAACATACCTTTTTAAGTATTTGCCATTAATGAATCTCACGTGTTTGGTGCCATCTAAACCTTCTAAATGATAGGCTCCATTAGGCAATACACTGTTTACTTTATATGACCCTTCCCAATTGGGTGACCACTTGCCATACTTTGGATCTTTGCTATCCAAATGGAGTATTGTTTTCCAAACCAATTCGCCCAAACTAAAAGACTTGACTATAACTTTTTTATTATAAAACTTAGTCATTCCTTGTTTTTGAACTTGTAATCTATATAGGACGCCCAATTTCAATTCGTTTAACTCCAATAAGTTTTGAACTAGTGACTCAGTATACTCACAATCACCTAACTTATGTTGCAAACACACTCTAATTGATTGCACATTGATTTCCATAAGCAAAACGGCCTCCTATCCATAAGTGAGTTGGAAAGGAATAACTTTGGTACTTGACTGATGCGACGTCCTATAAGCCCATAAGGCCTTTTTTAGACATTAGGCCAATTTCTGATATTTTCATCTATCATTTTCCTTATGATATTTTTTAGAATTTTATTAGAAGATTCTGCATGTCCGTTGGATTGAGCGTAATACGGCGTGGAGTTTACTAACTTTACTC